TTTCTTACACGAAGAGTATTATAAAAGTAAAGATTTATAACTTCGCAATACAATACTTTTATTTTTATCTTCTGTGATTTAATACTTCTCTTTTCTTATTTCGTAGCTGCTCCACAAATACAAAGTTCAACTCAAGTTGTACAAGTAAAGAAATCCGAAAGAGCAACATTGTCTTGCTCTGCTTCTGGAGATCCTCCTCTAACAATAAGTTGGGATAAAGTAGGATTTCCTTTAGCATTATATCAAATAAAACGGTTAGTATATTTCTGTTATAATGAATAGATGATTTAGAGAATGTTGCAAATATTTCTGACTCAAAATATGAATTTTATAAATGTATGATGATATATCGCAAATCTACTATGCCTAACTATATTTAACTTATATATTTAAGTTTTGGTAAAAGTATTAAATTAAATTTTAGCTATACAATAGAAGAAACTGAAAGAGCAGATATCAAAACTTCCTTAGTTACAATATCACATGCAGAAAGAGAGGATACAAACACCTACACTTGTTTAGCATCAAATCCTTACGGTATTCAGAAGACAAAAGTCAGACTTATTGTTCAAGGTAAGTTATAACAAGAAGAGATAAATTTAAATTTATCCGAAAGATAACAATTTAAGAAATTACATTTGATATTTGCTTTATACATTAGGTTTGAACGTTTAATATGATAAGAAACAGAAATTATATTCAAATGTTTGTTTATAAATATGCATTAATATAAACTAAAGATAAATATCCAATAATTTAGTTTCTGTAAATGACTAGTCTAAATGTTATTGTTGAGATAAATTGCATTCACATTCATTACAGAAAATATTAATAGGATAATGGAATCAAATAATAATTTATCCGTAATAATTTAATTATATTACTGTTTTAAAATTTTAATATATATTAAATTAGTTTTAGTTCGATATAATGCTTCAAAGAAAAAAACAATATCATATGCATAAGTCTGAAAAACTTGGGATTTTTAAAGAGTTTAAATACAGTTTTTCCATTAACCTTGCATTTATTTTAAAATATTTTTCTTCTTTGAAGAATTATTTTTATTAGTAAGTTAACATTAATGCAGATAGTTGTCAAGTTGACAATTTAAAATACTCTTGCTAAGCAATAAATATTTAATTAATGATATTACTTTTAAAATTATGTAAACATCCATTAACAATTTAAAGTTTGATTGAAGTAGATCTTGATCAAATTGAAAATAAGAAGATTAAAATAAACTTAATTCTTGAAAAATTAATTCGATATTTACTTTACAGAGTTAACTCATTCTCATCTTGCTATAAGTTAAAAAAAAAAAATGTAAATTATAATTATTAGTTAGATTTAATTTCATACTAATTGATATATTTTTGAAATTTTTTAATACTAACTGTTGAATAATGTTACGTTTAAAAAATTGACATTGCCGTAAACTTACATGTTATAAGAACATCAGCTGACACTACTACGTAATTTAATTTCCTCGGGAAATAAAAAGTGCAATAATTAATCATTTATTAATTTATTTTAATTAATTCACATTATTAATAATTTACGCATAAGTTAATCAAAAAATTAAATAAAAATTAATGTTGTTTTTAATATTAGTGATTTTATAACTTACTTTGAAATTTATTAACTTTTTATTAATTTTTAAAAATTGCGTAAAATATAATATGAGAATTAAAACATTCATGAGTGAAATGCTGTGCTTTTTATTTTAAATATCGAAATGCAATATTAAATAATAAAAATTTATTGATAATCATTGAAACTACTATAAAAGTAAGATACGGATAAATGAAAAAATTCACGAATGATTTCTGCCATTAAATAAAAAAGAGACTTTGTAAAGTATATATTTTTTACTTTAAAGTAGATTTTTTGTAAATTTTTTACTTAATATTTTGTAAAAATTGAATATGACAATTTTTTATTTATTTATATTTTCTTATATATTTTCAATGCAATTACTGGGTAGTACAGTACATCAGTCGTTGTTATACATAAATTTTAAAGTAGAAATACTTCAGTAAGATACAATTTTAGTCTTTACTTACATTTAATGATAATAACGAACACGGGAGTAGGAAAAATGAAAATGTGTGTATATATATATCATACATATACATTCTTTTAATATCATAAAATTTTCTTTTCATATCAGAAAAGAAAATTTTAAAATAGAAGTATATACTAAAGAATGGGAGAAAGAGAAAGTAGAAGATAAAGAAATAGAAATATATATGAACAGTACATGTAGGATTTAATATATAACAGTGTAGTAATAAATAATTAAATGAAAATTAACTGGAAGTATAAGCTTAATTGCCTTAAAGACGATAAATTGAGCAAGTAAGAATAGCCAGAGATAAGCCTATTTTTGCCAATTTCTGTATCCTTAACTAATTTTCGTTGACTCAGTAATTCCTGCAACAATTCTACATTAAATCCTTGATATTTCAGTAATGATATCGTACAGAATGACTTACATTGAAATAAATTACTAATGGCAAATCTTCTTCATTTAAAGTTTATACAACGAATAGGAATAATCAAATTTTATATATTTGTGATATATATATATATATATTATATTAAATTTAATTATTATATATATATATGTGTGTGTGTGTGTGTGTGTGTGTGTGTGTGTGTTATTGTACTCTGTACGATAACAAGTAAATTTAAATAAAAAAATGTTTTCTTAATTTAATGTAACTACCATAATCAATTCTTCATATCAAATTTAATAAAATATTTCAATAATATTTGAAAATATATTCTATAAAAAATAGAAAAAATTTCTGCATATAAATTTAATTTATACATTAGCAATTTTACAATTTTTTTTACAAATAAAAAAAATATATCGATTGTTCATTATGCAAATTTAAGACTTTTAAATCATTACATGTTTTCCTTAATATTTTGTTAAATTCATAAGATTATCAAACTAACTAAAAACTTCAAAATAAACGAGCCTGACATAACGTATACATGAATACATCAATTTTATTGGCAAAATGAAAGAGGAACTTGACGTATAACATTTAATCATTTATTATTCAAAAGAAAATTCTGTCTAGTTGGAAAAATCATAGTTGATGATGCAGAAATAAAAATAATCGATTAATTTCAAAATAACAGTTGACGTGTTTGATACAAAATTTCTCATTTTGTTCTTAGAAACTCCGGATCCTCCCGAAGACGTACGTGTTATTGAAGTCACTAGTACTGCAGCTAGTCTTTTATGGTCACCTCCCTATTCTGGTAATTCACCAATAACATCTTACGTCATCAGTTATAAGCAGGAAAAAGGTAGGTAATATATGTTGAGAATTGAACAGGTGTGTTCATTCTGATAGCATTCATTCAGTATAATCGTTGTCTATTAATCTGTATAATTATCTTTCTCTCTTTATTGGATTAGTAATGAATGGTTACAGTTCATTTTATGAAATCTCCATTTGTCTTTTTTTGTATACATTCAAATGCACGTGTGAGTGTATGTGTGCAAATTTTTCTTTTCCTTTTTGCATATCGATCTCTTTAGCGGGATAATCTTTAATTAAATGCTACGTCTTCAATAATAAGTTTTCTTATAAATGTGCATATAATTGCATACTTTCCTTTCAGTATTTTTATCGCGTGTCTAAGAATAATTTTAAAATGTGTCATAAAATCATTTGTCAAAAACCTCATCATAATCAAATGTAATCTTCTATTGCTTAAAGCTACATCTTTGATATGTACAAAAAATTAATTTAATATTTTCTGAATATTTTGCACTTGTAAATTGCATATTATTATAATGAGCATTTTGTCAGAAATGCATAGGCCTATATACNGGTTAACCAACGAGAATTTGGAAAATCTGCTGGTTGTTTCAACATCTGCCATTACGCTAGACATCAAGAAGATTGCCGCCAGCATCCAATCTCAGCCATCGCATTAATCACTTGGAGGTCCGGCCCTCAGTCAGTAAACTTAATCCTAATTTGGCCCTTTTTCAGAAAAGGTTGTGCATCCCTGTTATTAATAAAAATAAAGTATAATAATTCTGATGATTGTTTCTAACTTTAAAATTTTCTATTCAAACTAATAACTTTAATTGGAAAAAATTCTTTTATCTATCTAATTCAAAAAACAGAAAAAATTTAATAGAAAACTGTTTTGCAGTTTAGATTGAAAAATGTAATACATTACATTATCCTACATTAATGTAATGTAATATACATTACTGTATAATATAAAGTAATACATTTACATTATATAGTAGATTATTTGTGCATCTGTAATGTGCTTGTAATATAATTGAGGAATCCTCAAAGTTTCTTGCAGATTAGTAAGAACATTTATCTTGCATCTATTTCTCAAACTTAATATTGCCAGTGCCAAATAAGAAATGTAGTAATATTAATATAAATTAATGTTTAACATTATTGATATGTATGAATGGAAAAATGAATTGTTTTCTTAACTTCTCAGTTGTGTTTAACACAAACTTATAGTTGCATAAATATCATGCAAGAGTAGTTTTTTTATTTGTGGCTTCAGCACAGAGTGATTTTCTATGAAACTTTTGCACAAATTGATACAAAATTACATTTAAAAATCTTGAAAGTGTCTGCTCATTTTTGAAAAAATTTCATAATTTAATAATTACATGAAAAAGAAAATGCAAGATAATTTAACTAGTTATCTTGTATTTTAATGATTTGATTAACTCATAAGTTTGACATTTAAATATTTATTTATATAAGACTACTTATAGAATGCTTGTTAAGTGCATTTTTTGTACATGAATATTAAATTATTAATTTATTTAAATATAGAGAAAATGATGTTTTAAAATAAAATTTTATTTTGAATATATAATAATTACTGCAACATTTCTGTCATAGTAAATTTACAATAAAAATATATTTTTACAGATTAAATACTAAATCATTGTAAAATGAGTTTAATTTAGTTATGTTTCAATTTTTTTTTAGTGCTGGCTGTGGAAGAACAGGAACAATATGTGCTATTGATTATGTTTGGGGATTAATGCGAATGGGTGTAAGTATTGTCTCATTTATTTTTTTCTAAAATGCTACTTTTATGTTTCCAAGTTTTACCAATTTATTCATTTATATTGAGCATTTAACAAATACCTTTCTGAATCATTTTTTACTAATTCTTGAATTTTTGTGATTTGTGTGTATGTGTATGATTTATTTATTTATAAATACTTTTTAAAAAATGATATTTACTTATCATTCTTAGTTTATAATTTTTGGTAACAGTTAAAAATTTTAAATTATTATCTATTTTCATGTCTCCCATTTTTTTATTTCTAATTGCTTTTTCTTACAAATTTTAAAACAAATAAAGAAGTTATAATTATATGAAGTCATGACAGTGACAGTCATGGCAAGTAAAAAAGTCACTGATTGACTATGTATACAGGAATTTGAGTTGACAATTTTTGGGGTTGATTTCTCTGTCCCCCAAACATCTGAAAGAAACTAAACATCTTGTTTGAAAGACAATTGTTTTCTTAGATAGTGTGCAAAATTTCAAGATTTTCTATGAAGCTGTTGCTAAAATATAAGTAATTGAAAAGTGAAAATATTGCCAAAAAAGCTGTATTTTCTCCTTCTTCTACATTTGGCACTGCAGACACTAATAGAGGAAAAACTACTGGGTCTAGAAATCTCAAGTCTTTCTTGTTATCAGAGGGGCTCATGAAACTTCTGGATAAATAGATTAAAGTTCACAGGGGTTTCTAATTGAACTAATTCAGTTTTACTGCTTCATTTTATGCTTATAAAGATAAAATTGCATGGAAACAAATGAGTTTTGCATTTGGTCAGTGACATATTCAGTCAACAGTCACCAAGCACTGATTGATCTTATGTTTTGATATACAGTTAATATTACAATTATTAAACAAAAACAATTGCTATCTAAACAAAAACATCCAAGATGTAAAAAAATTACACCAAGTGAAAATTTATGGCAATTCAGATGACTGTCAAAATTTTTTCTTAGAAGTTTTTCTTTGGTAAAGATAAGCTTAGTACTTGGAAGTGGTACCCACATGATTTTTACCTGTATTATTATTTTCTACATTTTGCCTCCAAGTGGCAAGCTATTAAAAAGTTTTTAAATTATAATATACATATTTTTACCTTCTAGTTTGTAATTTAATTTTTACTTATTGATAAATTATTCATAATCAGAATTTATAATACATAATTTATATTTCAGAAATTGACCAAATCCTTTAGCCTATACGAAATTGCTGCAGAAATGCGACGACAACGGGTAGCTATGGTGCAGACAAAAGTAAGGATTTTACAGAAATGAAAATGATATATAATTCTAATTAATAAGGTTAAGATTAACAAAATATGTAATATAATTTCACTGATATTAATTTGTTCATTTATAGGAACAATATTATTTAGTACATAGAGCTGTGACAGCTATGTTTGAACAACAACTACGTGTAATTGATAGTCATACTTATGAAAATTTAGATGAAGATGGTGAACCTCTTGTATGGAAAGAACTTAGAGATGTAAGATAACTTAAAATTATAAAGTATTTAGGTTAGATAATAATATTGGGATTGAAAAATATAAAATAGTTGTGCATAAAGTAATGAGATGATAAGTATCTTGAGTGATTTGATGTGTGTTTATAAACTGTCATCTGTAATGACTCCTAGATATTTGATTTTTTTTCTCTTGTTGATCCATCTGAGCCAAACCACAATGTTTTCTTGTTGTCAAGTTTTTACTTCCATATTTGTGGATTCAATGTTTTGAAAGTTCATTCTAACAAGATTGATCATTTACAGGGTTATTGCATTGATATTAAAATAGTATTATATTTATGGAAGAATGACTGGGCACTTTGCTATTTATTGTTGTTTTGTGGAGAATTGAGATGCTTATAATTGTTTAATGCACTGATATATATTTGGCTGAATGGCTGAGCAACCAAGGTGGCAGTCTTACACTCTGGGGGACCCAGGATTGAATCCAGACGGATCAAAAAAATCCCCAGGAATTTTTCGGGCTGTGGTCCAATCAAAATATGTCAACCCCCGTCTCTTACCACTTGGCTACCTCATTGTGGGTCTGGCCAAACCATAATGGGTTTATATAAATAAACATCTCTAGTGCCAAATTAATTACGTAATTTATTTAGAATTTAGCATTAAAAATAGCCCGATTAATTTACGGCATTCGGTTGGTGTCTTATCATAATGGGTTTGCTAAAAAGAGGTCTTCTTAGTGCTCACAGGGCAGAAAGAGAAAAAACAAAAAAATGCACACAATATAAGGTTTTTTCATTTAAATTTAAGAACGTTTATAGTTTTCAAACATCGCTAAACCCGATATATAATAAAGCTACACACCAACTGAATGCCGAAAATCTATCGGGCTAGTATAAGGCTAATTATTAAATGAATTACGTAACCAATTTGGTTTTAGAGGTAAGCGTTAGGCGCCATCTCTTATTAACATTAATAATTATAAATTAATTAATTAATTTAAATAATTTAGAACCACTGGGAGAAAAAATCGGCCCGGAGTGGCCGATTTTTTTCTTCAGTTACACTATCCGGACTGGAGGTCCGGATAGCGTAACTGGCAACGCATCTGCACAGTAAGCAGGAGTTGTGGGTTCGAGTCCCGCTCTGGGCCGATTTTTTTCTCTCAGCGGTTCTAAATTATTTAAATTAATTAATTTATTTATAATTATTACTGTTAATAAGAGATGGCGCCTAACGCTTACCTCTAAAACCAAATTGGTTACGTAATTCATTTAATAATTAGCCTTATACTAGCCCGATAGATTTTCGCATTCGGTTGGTGTGTAGTTTATAGTTTTCATTATATTTTAATTTCTAATCTTTTTCAGTAAAATTAAATCATTTTAAAGCTGAAAAATTTAAATAATATTTATTTCGATTTTTTTTCATCAACATTCTTTCATGCATATACACCAGATGTTTAAAAAGTTCTATTTTATTTAAAGATTCTTTTTTTAATTTTATCCTATGTAACATAAAATAAAATTAAAAAAACAAAATTACATAAATAGAACTTAATTCCATGGCCTAAAGATGGCTGTTAATTAAAAACAGTTGAAAATGTTTGTTCTTATAATAAATTTGTTCATTTTAACTGGATTACTACAGGTGATAATTGGTGCTTTTATTTTAAAGACATTTTTTTAAAGATAGAACTTCAGAAAACAAATTCTGAAAATTATAACTATAACTTTAATTTCTTGAAGTTTTAGAACTCAGTTTATGATTTCTGAAGCTGGATTTATTTTATTTGAAAAAATTAGTTTTTATAAAATGCATTTTTCAATGTTAATTTTTTAATGATCTCTTTAGATCAATAACAAAATATATAGTGCATTATCACTAATCCAAATCTTCATTGATCTGAATTCTGCTTAATTTGAACCAGTTTTGTTTATTATTGTTGCTAAATGTTCCAGTCAAAAACAGAAAGAAATCAAATATATTATTATTGGATTAGTGGGATTGTATTGTAATAAAAAATTTGTATATATAAATTGATATTTTTTTTAATATTTAATTCTTTATAGAAAAGTGATACTATATATGAAGATGTATATGAATCAACTTCAACAGATGACAAAGAAGGTAATGAATTATTTTACTTTTGGTTTATTAAAATAATTATTTTGTTGAAATTAATTTTATTAGTATTTATCAACAATTATATAATTTAAAAAATTAAGATGCTTGAATAATTTTTCAAAATATTTATTATTTATATTCTACCACAATGTGTGAGATTAGAAAATGCTTTAATAAATAAACCTTTAGACATCTTTTATATTTTATCCTGTTTCGTAAGTTTTACTTTATCAGAAATGTTTAACAATCTTGGTCTATCTTCAGTTGGTTTTACTTCCCAGCTATTATGTATATAACATGAGAAAGTATTGGAATCGTGTGAAATTTGAACCTCTATATTTTTACAAGTTTTGATACCTTGTGAGATCTTCTGAACCCAAAAGAGTAAAAAATAAAATAAAAAAGGAAAAAATTTTGTGTGTTGGCTTCTATTTCATTTAATATCTCAGGATGGGGGTCAAGATTAAGAAATAAAATTTGGCACAGTAATTTGTATTTAAGGGACATTGATGCTTTTAAATTAAGTTTGAGAGGGGTTATGTCATATCTCAAGTAGGGTTGGAATTAATGAAAATTTTAATTATTGGCATTCAATATTTTTAAAACTCATCTTCTCCCTTCAAATTAAGTCTTTTTTTTTTTTTTTCTTATCAAAATTGTTAATTTAATGTAATGTAATTTAAAATAAAATTTCACAACAACCAGAAAGTTATGCAACTCGTTGCTGGATTTTTTTGTTTATAATCAATAATATTCAAGCAAGAATAAAGATAAATTTAAATTTGTGAATTTTTTTAAAGATAATACTTATCTTTAAAAAATATAGGAAAAGCATTTTATCACATAAGTATGCTATAAAAGGTTCAAGAATTAAATATTGAGTGTAGATATCATGAAATAAAAAAGAAACAAAACAGTTAAATATTACATGTATTTTATTCAAAGTACTTCCTGCTGCAGCAATACAGCAAGTTTAAGGACTTGAAAGATCTCTGCAAATCTTTCTTTGGTATGTCACAAAGACCCAGTGTCAGTGCCTGCTGGATATTTTTAACATCTTGAAAATGATGATCTTTCAATGGTGACTTTAGTTTAGGAAACAGAAAATAATTACAAGGATATAAATCTGGGGAAATAGTGAATGATTGAGTGTGTACACTGTGTATGCTGCATACCGTTGTCTTTGGTCATCAGGCAAAAAATGTGATGCAAACTGGACAGTGACCTTGCCGAAATCTTCCATTAAGATTTTTGAATTGTCTTCCTACTGGCACTAAAGTCAAATGTCAATATTCTCACTGTTACACAACAAACTTCTTAAATCTATTCTCTCATCTTGTAATGAGTTCCTTATTTTAAGCTGAAATTAGATGTCCAGGCCTGTTATCATCATTGAGAGTTTCTGATGACATTTGAATCTGATTCTGATGATCAAACCACCTGAATATTTGTGCATGAGATAAACACATTTTTATATCACTGTCTCAGATCACATTTTTCAAGTTTAAAACAGAATTTGATATTCACTATCTGCTCAATAGTGCTTTTGTGATAATACTTTTACACTAACCTAGCAAAATGGGAGCAGACTTACTGCCTTGCAATATTGCCAGACTGCAGATGATGGACCACACTATGGAATGCACATGCTTCTTACTACATGATGATTGTGTATTGGTCAGTACAACATTTGTCTCATTACTTAATTGTTGGAACTTGTAAAACTTTTGAAAGTTGAAAATAATGAATAAGTACATCTTTTTTCTTAAACATTTATGAAATCATTAAGAATCTTTTAAACCTTTTTATTTATTAAATAATTTAGAATATTCTGGAAGAAAAGAATTGGCCTAGCGTGGTTCTCTAACCCACAAATGCCACTTATCTTGAAGATGTATTGCTAGTTAAAATTTCCTATGTTGATTTATAAGCCTTATAGGATAAATAAAGTTAACAAAATTAATTTTACATTAGTATTCTTGTAAGAATATAAATATAAAATATATTTGAGTTTTGATTGGAAATAACTATAGAAGTATAGAATCTTATACTGAAATTAATTTATACAGTCGACCCCCCCTACAAGATATAGATACGTTCCAATTTATTAGGAATCCGATTTCTTACAAGTCGTTCCAATCACAGCCCGACACGTGTCAAGTTTACGGACTACGGCTGATTGAAAGGTTTTCATCCATAAAATTAATCGATTCTACACTAATCCGACTCAACATTTCCAAAATACGTATATTTTTTCATAGTTTTATAGGAATCGTAATTATAGGGACCGTAATTATAGGAGGGTCGACTGTAATATGATAATTTGCTATTGTTGTATTGCATACTCATTTATTATTAATAGTTATAAAAACTTTTATCTAATATCTATATACTTTCAATAGTAATAGAATTACTGCATTTAGTTAAATAATTTTAATATTTATTTTAAGCTGAGAAAAGAAACCACCAAGAATTTGAACAGGATAAAAATGAATTTGAAAATGGTCAGCAAAAAAGTCCAGCCAAGTATTTTTCTCAAGAATTAAAGAATGAAGAAAAAGAAAAATCTCAAAAAAACCTTGCTGTTGCCGGGAATTCACAAAGATTTTGGAATCAACCAGAAAACAGTATGAATACTCAACAAAATTTGATAGAAGATAGATGTCAAGATTCTGAGGATGATTCAGGCCAGTTATCAAGAAGAAATTCACAAATTTTGCTTAAACTAAAAAGAGAAGAAAGTGTTAAAAGATTAATTTCAGGATGGAATAAAGTAACTGAACATTCAGATACTAAAAGTGTATCTGTTAAACAATCAGAACTTAAATCAAAAACTATTACAGTACAGAATAATAATATAATTTTGCACAATAAAGATAATTCAGTTGGTTTGAATCAAAATTCAAAGCACACTAATGAAGTTAAAGATTGTCTTCAACAAGAATCTTCACAAAAATCAATGGCAAAAGAAAAAAGTGCATCAGTCAGTGCTCCTCCTTTACAAGAAACAAGTAATGGAACAGTTAATCTAAATTCTGAGGAAAATTTTTCTACAATTTTGGATGTTGATTCTTATGAAGGAAATTCTTACAGAAAGGCAGCTGGTGAAGAAAGACATCTGCAAGGAAAACTTATTGGCAAAGCTACAGTTATTAGACGTCCTAGTATAGCAAAATTAAAAGCCTTATTTGAAAAATCACTTAATGTTGAATCTGATTCTAATGTTGGATTACAAACGCCTCAGAGACGGCATCCTCTTTTTAGAAGTCACAGTCATCACCTCAGTAGAGAATTTCGACCACAGCAAGAGAGAGAAACAGTTCTTAGGATGGTTGCTAGGAAACTATTACGTTCTCCATTAAGAGAATTGCAGCACAGCAGACAAAATGATTCAAAAAATTCATATTCAGAAACACCAATGTCTGCAGCTGCAGAAATTGAATGCTTGACTTTGTTATGTTCAGAAGAAAAAAGTGCATCTCAGATACAAGAATTAAGTAAAGCAGTTAAAACTTTGAGTTTTGAATCTTCTGAAGATAAATTAATTTTGGAAGAGCTTTGTAAAAAACACTCTCTTCGAAATGTGTCTGAAAATTCATTTCAAAATGAAATTACTAATAAGCAAACAGATTCTGGTCATACAGAAGAATGCTTGCAAGTTTTAAATGATAAAACTGAATCAGTTCCAAAAAGCAAAGAAACTTCTAAAGAAATAGAGAAATATTCTACATCTCACAAAAAATTATCACGTTTAAATGAAAAAGGAAATAATCTAATTGAGAATTCATTTACTTCTAATTATATGACCAAATCATCTGTAACAAAAACTAATGCAGTTTATACACCAAATGTTCCAGAACTACCAGTTAAGAAAAAACCATTACAGCAATTTGGATCACCAAATCACAGAGGAGCAAATTGGATCAATAATGAAAAAGATGATAATTTTGAAAGAACTTGCACAACTCACAAGAATGAATCAGTTTTAAAGGACAAAGGTGAGCTTTCACTTGATGGTTCAGGTGATTATGTGGTGCTTCGAACTAGAGATCCCACAATTGATGTAGCTTTTTCTCGTAAACGATCACAAGAAGAGGGTATCTATGGAACTATCAAACATCAGTCTGTAAATAGGGATCCCAAAACTGAAGAATACATTCCATGCTATGCCAAACCTGTTACTGTTCCAATATCTAATATGGTACAGTCAGACAATGTTTCAGCAGTGAGATCAAATGATATGCAAAAACAATATCAGGTAAAAGATTTACAGAATAAATACTCAAATTCAACACATTGTACAGATATAGAAAAAAAATGTGCAGATTTCTATGATGAGAACAATTTTGGTAAGATAAACAATAAAGAATGTGTAGAACAAAGAAACAACATTTTTACATATGACAAAAGTAATCAGATAAATAAGTTGTCTTCATCTAAAATTGCACATTCTGTAAAAGCTACAGATATAATTCACAATCCAAATAATGTTCAGTACACAAACATTAATGTTACAACTAAGAAAAATATAGCTCAGATTGAAAATATTTTGAATCATCATCCAAGAGGAGCCATTTTAGATTTAACATCAAGAAAATCATATATTTTAAGTGATTCTCATGCTGTTGGAGAAAATAATGAAAATACATCGTCTAATGCTGTATGTGCTTTAAAAAATTCACCTGAGAAAGCTTGTCTTCCAGTAAATTCTAAATTAAAATATGAACAACTGTGGTCACCTCAAAATAATACTTCAGAAATGATAAATAAATCTGATGTTGAAAATAAGCAAGAAGCAAAATCTTATAATAATAATTCATTAAATGAAACGCATTTAGCACATGAATGGAATAAGCAGATGTATGGAGTTCAGCATTACAGATTAAATCAAGAATCTGGAAACTCTAGAAATTTACTTTTGCATAGTCCAACACCAAAATCGAAGCGTTTACATCTTCCACGAACATCAAACAAACCAAAGAATCAGCATTATAATGTATATGAAAGTCCATCTCTTATAAATAATAAGGGTGAAAAAGATATTTATCATTGTAAACAAATTTCCACAGAAATGGGTGATTTAAAACTTGAACGACATTTAAATCATAATAATGCTGCAACTTATAATGTAATGTCTGAAAATTCTCAAAAAGAAGAAAAAATTGAATCAGTTGAAACTACTACACCAAAAGAATGCTTTAATAAGCAATGCCAAAACAAAGAGTATAGAATAGCTTCAGAAAACAGTAGGGGGATTTATCAGTCTCCTGGAGGAAATTTAGAAAAATCTGCACAGAATCAAACATTTGATTCTTCTAATCACAATAATTCATTCCTTAATAAAACAAATAATTCAAATTCTAATAATGTTCATTCTCCTAAACATCATAGTTATGAAAGTATTTATGGTCATTTAGAACAATTTGTAAAAAGAAAGCAACAGAAATTAGATTCTGATTATGAATATGTTTATCCAGCAAACAATTCTAAATCAAGAGACCCAAAATATGAAGATGTAATTATTAATACTACAGATGAAACTTCTGTCAAAAAACCCTTCTCTTCACCATCTCATACAAATAATAAATGGATGAATGTTTGTGAAAATATACCAGGAAGTGAAAATTGGAAGTTAAAAAAAACTCATTCACCCCAGAATGATAAAATTCAGAATTATGCTATGGGACCTCCCAAACCACCCAGAACATTTAGTCAGATGCTTCCTGTACAGAAAGAGAATTTTCAACTATCGACAAATGTTAAACAGCCAATTGCTTCCAATGATGGTGGTCGTTTACTTGTACCTGTTGCATCACCAAAGTCTGTTTCAAAACAATATTATAGTCAAATGCAAAATAACAGAAATGAACTCAAATCTTCTACCTGCTTTCATAAAGATTCACAGAACATTGGTGTTCCTAATAAATCACAATCTTTATCATCATGGCTTCAAGATTCAACATATGTTACCAATGATGGAACAGCTGTTAATAAAAATTCTTGTGCAATATATAGTTTGCCTTCACCTTCACATGAAATTCAAGTTAATTCAAATTTGCATAATAGAAATCAACCAAATTCACCCTACCATCAAAAGTTAAAAAATGTACCAATATATGCAACAGTAAGAGAACATTTTCCAGTAAGATATCAACCAGAAAAATCTCAAATTTTAAAAAATGCAAACACTTATGAAAATATTTATGATGCTCAGAAAATTTATTATGGAATCAATCCTGCTCAAGCTGAAAATTACATGGGACGATCTAGTCAACAAATAGCTATGCATGGATTGAGGCATTCTCAGTCTGATGCAAGTGTATATGTTGCTCTTCGATCAATGAGACCAATGAACAATGATTCTGTAGACATGAGACCTCAACTTCCATCTTACAATGAAGCTGTAAGACCCAGAAGGGTTGGTGAACTCAATAATGTAAACAGAAGTAAATTAGATATTTCATATGGAATGGAACAAAGGAGATGTCGTGATGATATGGACATCAGACCATCAGCAGTTTCCAGGTTGAAGCAGGAAGCACATGCTCGTAGGAGTATGGTTGAGTGGGATCTAGGAATGACTGTAGCTCCTGGTAAGTTTTTAAAAGTATTTCTAATTCATATTCTATATTAAAATAGTGAAAAATGATACTAAGTTGTAAACATTTTAAATGTGTTTGAATTATAAATAGCATAATTTGATAAAACTTTTAATGATACAAATAATAACTTTTGTTTTTTTTTATAAGTGTTTTTTTTAACTTATAGGCTAGTGTTTGTTTAGTTGCAAACATAAAGCAGTTTTAATACAATTTAATGTTGAAATTTATCTTATACCATTTATAAATTTTATAAATGTTATTTTATTTCATTTATAAACTATATGAGTTAATATTTTATGGAAGTTTTACTTAATTAAATTATTTGTTTTCAAAGTTTTATAAATGCAATTATATAAATACAGGTAACCCCCATATAACATTATGTTAAAAAAATTGTTGTGTTATGCGAATCTGTGTTATACAAAACAAAGGACTAGTACAGAAAGGGGGGGTTATGTTCCAAAAATTAAAAAACATGCTATTATATTTTCATAATTAAGATAAATATCTTTATTAAAATTTCCTTAAATGATACATATTAATGTAAATTAAAGAATGTTTTCTTTGTCATCACTAAGCACTATTAACCAAGGGCATTTTCTTTTTGGCAAGAATCCTTATCCTCTGAGCATTTTTCTGCATTATCTTCAGATCCATGCTCTACCTTTTTCAAAAATATGTTATTTTAGATTGCTTGGTTTTAGTTAAAAGATCTTTATAAATTTCCTTATATGGTGCTAAGCACTTATGAAGAATAAAGCAAGTATGGAATAAGGGAAAAACATCTGGCAGCACCAAAATCAGAAGTGTCGAGATCTGACAACACTGAAACAAGTTTCGAGAAGGACCACGTGTATTGATAGAAGGCTGGAAAAAAATTTACATACTTAAGTACTAATAGTTTTTGAAAATAATAATTTTTGTGAACTATTAGTACTTCAGTATGTGAAAATTTATTACATTTCATGTTGTACGAGGGTTTTACCCAATTCTCGAATTGTGTTAGAGTGAATCCATGCTATAGAAGTGCTGTATTATATGGGGGTTACCTGTAATAATATTTTGTTTTTGTATTGTTTATAAGAATATTGTAGTTCAACTACTTTATGCAACACAAGGAGCTTCTAAACCCATAACATAGGACTATAAAAGACTGGAGAAATGAGCAGAAGACAATAACATTATTTTTATGCAATCTGATAAGAAGTAACTAATGGCACAAAACAGAAGAGAACTTAAAACAGATAGGTTCCATTCAGTTAAATAATGATCCTCCTAAAGCATTGTAGACTAGAATGCTTCTAGTAAGAGCAAACTTCCTAACTTAGCTTTTTAAACTCCCTAATGGATAATAGCACCCAAACTGTTTGGAATGGTCAAATTACACAAAAACCAAGCTAACCACTTAGACCAACATTAGAGAAAATGCAAGCACAGCATTACTATGGAATAAAGTTGCACACCTTACTCAGTTCTTTAAATACAGTATTTTTTCCACTACACTATGAAAAGCCCTATTACACGTGGAAGTAGCTCAGGATGATAATATCATTCAAGGATTATGTTAATATCTTTCCTTCTATTAGAATAGAAACAGCATAGCATTAACTATACTTACAGCAAACCTAACTATATGTATTGGAAAGTCAATGGCAGTAGCCATATCACAGGAACATTGCCATTTTAACAATTAAAGTATTTCAAACTTCACTTTTTGTGCAGTCAGCTATTAAAATGTGATCTGTTTTTCTGAAAGTATTCTTGAATGATTTATGTCAGTTTTTTGCACTTTTTAAGTGAAGTGTAACATGTAACAAAATGTATTCAACAACAGAAATTATATCTGTTATTTTAGTCCACTGATTAGAACACACCATATTGCTTAACTACTGAGGACGCCAATAACTGATTGGTTCACAACTAACTATGCAATAAGGCTATAACTATGTATACATCTTTTCAATTGTATTTGTCCCCAATGTTTATAGCACATAATTAATTTTAATTAAGTTAGTATTAAAAACAGAATTTGGAATCAAAATGTTAAAACTTTTTCACAAACTTTATTACTATTGTATGTCCATTTTTTTTCCATAGACTCTCCAATATGGTAAAACCTTGTTATTTTATTATATATTTTAGATGGACATTAATCTCAAAATAGATTTAAAGAGCTCATCAGAATTGAACTTTTTAGAAATAAGTTTTTGTGGTAAATACCCTATATGCAATATTGTACCAAAGTGTACAGAAAACCAGATAAAATTAATTTGTATATTTACTGGATTTCCAATGATTTGTTAGGTTATATATTAGTAGCATTTTGAACCCTACTAAAAACAGCAGTCACTTATTCAACCTTGGCACAGAAAACAAGAAATCAGTTTAATTGTCCATTCCGTTTGTATGCATGGTGTCTTGCAGGTTATAGGATTAGTTGAAGCTTGCCTAAACCAAATGGATAAACATAATGAACTATATATGTAATATTGAAATAGGTCAGAGGGAAATAAAAAAGTGGTGGTTAGTTACTGGTAAACTGTAGCAAATACAATAGCACCTTTAAGAATAAAATATGACATCCAACTTGGGAGTAGGAGGTTGCCCTTCATCATATAGATGGTTAGATATCACAAAGAACCAGTGCAGGAAGTTAAAAAACCAGGAATTTACATGATGACATTAAACAAAGAGATCAATAAATTTTTCTATGTAGGATTTAAAAAAATTATATAAGGCCCACTTATAATGGGATATAATTGATTTTTCATGAGTCCAAATTATCAATGTTATCACCACATTTTTTATATGCAGTATATGTTTGTTAATGTATTCTTATAAAATTATGCTGCAAAATGGTTACCATATTTTTTGGCATAAAGACACAGAAGATTTAGGTAAAAGTATTTTATATAACTTAAACTGTGTATGTCTTTGACAATCAGGCACAAAATATGTTTACTGTATTCTAGTTTAAAAATAATAATAACAACAATAATTATGTTTAATTAAACAATAGCATTTAATTCAGGACTTTGGTTAGATGAGATAACTTGTAGCCTTCTGAAAACCATTTGGGGAATTCATTAGCCTATGGGAGGCCACAATTTCACATATAAGACAGAGCTTTTTTTTTCTGAACAAAACTTGTCTTATATGCTTTAAAATATAGTATATTTATTATTTATTGTATCGTAATTGATAGGGTTTCTCATTTCCCAGTCTTTTGCTTGTCCTGGGATTCTGGGAAAAAAATGAACTGGGTCCCAGGATATAATAAATTATTTTTAAGATATAAAATAAATCTTAAAATTGAATGATATAATTATTTTTCATTTTTAAGTAACTTAATACGTCCTGCAACCTCCAAAATAATAATAATAATAATAATGCTGTGTAAAATATGTATAAAAATTACTTTTGAGTTACGTAGAAATTTTCACAAATAGAAGAAATTTATTAAAGTTTGTTGGAAACTGCTTAAAACAAAAATACTTGAGTTGAAAATTTAAAGAAAAAAATAAATTTAGATCAAACTTCTGAATTAGAGGTAATTTTTGTTATTTAAATAAAACATAATACATAATAATATTGTAAATTTTTATAAGATTTTAAAAAGCAAAGATGGTCAATACTCTGATCACTCAACCTGGTTCTTATTTTAGTAATGAGAAGTCCTGCTACCAAGAATGCCTTTTTTGATCCAATTGATGTGGGTGGAATCATCTTTAATGCATTTAAGAGAAGACAGATGTTATGTGTTTTTTCACCTGTAACCTGGAAGATTTCTAGTTCATTTTTGAGATGTGTTGCAGTATTTCTTTTTCCATCTAGTATTTCTTGATTTACCTTCAGCTGCTTTAATAGCAGCATCAAGTTTACAGCCCGATAATATGGCAGTTTATTTGGTTTTAATAATCAAGTTTATGAAGAAAAACTTCATACTTGCATACTTTGTACTCATTTGTATTCTGGTCCAATTTGCACAACCTGGCATAATGCAGTTATTAAAGCTAATTTATTAAAGCAGTTATTAAAGCTAATAATTGCACTGATGCTGTCTTAATTTTTAACTATGCCATAGTTAAAAATTAAGACAGCATCAGTGCAATTATTCGAGATATTACAAGTTCCAACAAGTAAAGAATTTTTAGGATCCTTCCACAAATAGGCTACATATTGATTATTGACAATCTGTGGGATGCCATAACAAGCAAAAATTTAAATGAGTTAATTATACTTTCTATTTGCAAAATTTCCTCAACTTTAACACAAAATAAGAAAAAGGTGAATTTTTAAGAAATTTGCAGGATTTCCTGGGATGAGAATTTTAGAATATTTCCCAGGTTAAAAAACAGCCAGGATCCCAGGTTTCCCATTGGAAAAACCTTAGTAATAGTGTTTTGTGTTACTTCTCTTTGGTAAAGACAATAAGGCATAAATTAGATAGAAGCATTTATCAATATCATAACAAAAAATAATTTTATTTGCATTTATTGTACAAATTATAGTTTTTTTCTTTTTGACACAATTTGCATGTAATTGAAATTGTTTGGTATGCTCGGGCTATGGACTTAAGGGGTTTTAATAACAACATAACTTAGATAATACCATTGACATAAAGAGCTTGTTCCATTTCCTCATGTTTCTTCTTCTCTTACCTATATATGCTCTTTTTACTGTGCTACATTCAAAAACAAAGATTACTTGTTATCTCAAACATTACAATGTTAACAATCCATAAAAACTCAGTGGTAGTTAAAAGATTTTGTGGTGGAAATATGGAAATTACAATTTTTTTTGCATTTTAACAGATTACATTATCCACAATTAACAAAAAAAAAAAAAAAAATGATGCCACAATTGGCCTGTTGGCCATGTGTAATCTTTATAATTAGAATTAACAAATTTTTATTTATAAATTAAAGGAATTGTATGCCATAGAACAAAATTCACTGAGAGTCCTGAAGGGGTTTCATGAAAACAACTTTAAAGCATGTTTTGAGAATTGGAAAAAATGTTGACATAAGTGCATTACAATGGGAGGGAATTGCTTTGAAAGGAACAAAATAAATTTTGATGAGTAAATTGAAATCTTGTGTTTTATTGAATCATTTCTGATAGTTTTTGATTACAGCTGGAAAGATTTTGGACTGATCTGAAACAAAAAATTTGTCAAAATGCACAGAATGCAGCCAATCTCTGTGCTCAAAACTTGGATTAAACTATTCTGAGTTTGACAGTAATTATTTTTGGAAACTTTTTGTTAATAACAAATGTGAAATTTCTGTTGCTGTTACTTATGGACCTTTTTCTGTGATTAAATAATTTTGAATTAAGTCACTGTCTCTATTATGTTTTGAATTATGCTTATTTGATTCTCATTAGTACAAATATTTAGTGTAGCCCCTTTATATCTTATATAATTTTAAAGCTTCTACATTTTACTATAGAATAATTACTTCAAATGAATTATTGATAAGAACTGTTGTAATGAATTGTTTATATCTGAATAATAAGGTGCTTTGGATGAAATCTAATGATAATATTATATGATATAGAAAAAATTGAAAATAAAAAAATTATTGAGGTGGAAATAAATACTATGCAGAGGAAAAATTAAATTACTCAATGGAACAGTTGTCACAAGGTATAGTATAGTTGGGGCTATGAGTTATAACTGTTGTGTTACGTAATACAATTAGATTCATTTTATGATAATTTTTTTTTGTAAGAGTTTATTCAGTAGCAACAACTGTCTTAAAGCAAGAGTTACCTCTATCTATTTTTTCAATCATGATATTTTATTTCAACTTCAATTAAAACATCTATATTTGTTGTAGAGTACATCAGAGGATCAAAGTCTTACTATTTTAAATTCTTTTTAATGCATTAAATATTTGAAAACATTCTCTGTTATATTAGAATTAACTTTGCAAACAAATTATGTATTTATCACAAATTGTATTTTTGATAAGACTGGTTATCTATATATATAAAAATGAATGTATGTCTGTCTGTGTGTCTGTGTGTCCTATGTCCTTCATGCATTACCACACCGTTTATCCGATTGCCATGAAACTTTGGGAAGTTGTTTAATATACTCCGGCGAAGGTTTGTGGCATAGTACGATTGCCATGAAACTTCGGGAAGTTTTTTAATACACTCCCGCGAAGTACATTTATCCTACGATAGATGGCGCGCGTTTACACGAGCATTCGCGCATAGTGTGTTTGATCGATTTCAAATTGTGAAGACCATTTCCCCCCTTCAAAAATATATATGTCTCTATATATGCATTTGTGAACTGTTATTTACGATATTTGTAATCATTTTTGTTTAATCACTTTATTTCGACTTTTTTTGCTAATTATGTTTTCGCTCGAACTTCGTTAAAATCTTAACTGTACCCCGAACAACGACCGAAGTTGTAGGAAGAAATTCGCCTATTTTACCGATCTAGGTATCGCCCTTTTTCAAATTTTAATATCGACTCGAAATAATTTAAAAAGACAAATTACAATAAAACGGTTTATTATCTAACTATCAGAAATTTCCCAACATGCCAAGGAAGAGAGGAAGGAGCAATTAAATAATTAAAATTATAAAGGATTTAAAAATATATATATAAATGGGGAATATCGCGCTTTTGACAATCGCTGCAAGTGTGTGGGCTAAATTTGGAGAATCCGTGCTTCTCGCATGGACAACTGTATGTGGCCAGCTCACGCGTCGGAAAACCTTCCGAATTATTCGTGTACGCACCAGACGAAAAAACAAAAAATATCGTGTATCCACGAGCACTCCAATAAATAAATAGAATTGAAACGACACTTTGAAATGTTTTCCCGATGAAAACGAATAATAATAATATATTTCAATAAAAATGATAAAATGAAAATTTAATTTTATTATAACGAGTTTGCTTGAATTTCATCTCTTCTGAGATCGCAGCAATGTGCGACGGGTAAGCTAGTGATTCATAAATATAAAATTATTATTTAAACCTATGAATAAAATTATTTGTGGAAACAGCATTTCATTTGGGAACATACCATTTTCAATAATAAAAATGGATGAATCAAAGGATTAAGTAATTCAGACATAAAAAACTGGCACACTTAAACTGGAACTATATACTAAACCAACAACTTGACACCTAAATCAAGTCCATTATAATCTAATAAATATTTATCATAGGAGTAGGATGACATTCCTATCAGCTTTGATATCTTTATATACAGTTATTGTGAAATGATTTTTTAGTAATATTTTATTTATTTACAATAAGTAAGGAGTTTCTTTAAAGTAATAATTCTGCAAACTATCTTATAAGAAAGTTTCTTTCATAGTACATTATAATGTATTAAGTTTAAAATGATAATTGGAACTAAATTGATCATTTTTATCATATATTTTATGTTGTATTACAAAAAATTCTAGGAAAAAAATTACATCACTTAATTTTGAATTTTTCCTGATCAGAATTTAATTAGTTTTTCAGATGTATACAATGACATTGAAATAAATTGAATATATAGTAATATTAATATTCCTGTTTTATTAATGACTAGCTGTTACTCGCGGCTTTGCCCGCGTAGATTTTGCAAGCAAACCCCATTTATATTCAGTATTTCAACAACCATAGTAATTGTTATATAACACCTACTGCTGAGAATCAAATGGACTATTTTCAATTTGATCAATTTTCTGGAACGTTTACAATCGTTCTATAATCGAATCAATATGCAATAACAAATTCGGATTTAAAACGGAAATATATAAAAATGTTTATAACAATGTCTGAAATGTTTAATACACCTAAGTACTCGGTGAAGACTAAATCCTCTCCCTCTCCCCTGCAGGGGAATTTTGAAAAATCCCTTCTTAGTGTGCATTGTCATGGCATACCCTACTAAAACGCAGATAAAAACAAAAAATTGCATCTAAAATAATACAGTTCTTCTGGTTAAGCCTTAATCCTCTCTCCCTCCCCCCCGCGGGGGAATTTCGAAAAATCCCTTCTTAGTGTGCGTTTCCATGACGTACCCTAACTGTCTACCAAATTTCACCTCTTTAGGTTAAGTGGTCTGCTCTGGGCGATGATGAATCAGTGAGTGAATGAGTGAGTCATTCAGTCAGTCAGGACAAGCAATTTTATATATTTAGATCATAATAATTAAAACGTTTTTAAAATGTGAATTCTAATATACATTGAATTTTTATTCCAGATTCTCAGGATACTGCAGATATGGCAGAATATTCTCAAGTTATTAGAAAGCCAGGAGTTAAAAAAGTAATTTTTAATATTTTATTATTCATTTTCATTATCATCAGCAGTCACTTTTTACTTCAGTCACATCCTTTTTAACAGGAAATATTGCTATCTGTTTTAGTTTCATAATAATAGATTTTATTCTGTAATAGTTACATGTAATTAGTTTTTAATTGTATACAAATATTTTTAGTTTATGTATTTTAGTAATATATATATATATTACTAAAATACATAAATATAAATAATATATATATTATTTAATATGAATTATAATAAAATAGATGAATACAAGAACAGAAAAGATGCAAAAAGATGACTTACCTCCAACAGTCCCACAAAAAACAAGAGGAGCATATGAAATGCCAGATGCAAATCAAGCTAAAGGTTGGTTATAAAATAAAATTTTAATTATTTATTTGCATCAAAATAATTAAATTTGATTTAACATTGATCAATTTTTTTCATAGGTAAACATATAGTTTAATAAATCAAAATTAAGATTGATGAATATAAAATTTATCAAATGTTAAAAATTTAACAGGCATTATTTTCATTTTATAAAGAGACATTATATTATTAAGAAATTATTCATTATATGAAAAATTAATTGTTGATTTGAATGTAAAACAAGTTTTAAGCTTGTATTTGTAAATCAATACTTTCATAAATTTATGAAATCAGTTATTTTATAAATGTGTTTTTAGTAAAAAAAAAAAAAGTATAATAAAATTAATTATAAATTAATTTAATAAAAAGTGTTTTAAATTTTATATATGGTACTTTGTGATAAATGACTGCATTTTATATTGCATTTTTATTTTATAAGTGAAACTACAGTATAGCTCTTTTAGAATAATTTGAATTCCTTAGAATTTTGGTTTAAAATAATAAGAAACTTCATAAAGTGAATTTTTTTCTATTTATATTATATAAATAGAAAAAAAATTTGCTTTATAAGTTTCTTATTATTATATATTTATATAATACTGTTGTGATCAAAAACTATTGGGAATGGCCCAATAAAATGCAAGATATGAATTTATTCATGGCAATGCATTTATGTTTTTTCCAACTCTCAAAACATGCTTTAAAGTCATTTTCATGAAACTCTTTCAGGACTTGCATCTATTTTGTTTTATTGCATCAATATACTCAAAACAGTGACCATGAAGCAATATTTTAGTCAAGGAAACAGGAAAAGTCATATGGTGACATATTAGGTGAATACATAGCTTATGGAATCATATTTATTGAATTTTTGGCAAAAAATTCAATAAATACAATTTAAAATTAAGAATGCTGAAACAATTCAAAGCTGAAAAATAAGAGGACAGCTTTCATTTCTTATTTTTCAGCTTTGAATTGTTTGAATTATGCATCTATATCTTTGAATTATAATCAAAAATATTTTTAACAATAAAATTTTTGCCTTATTAAATATATAAATTTACTTGACTTGTTTGACTTTTATGCTATATCAATTATACTAGAAAATTTTATCTAAAAACAATATGTTTTTTTTGAAATGAAAGTCTATTTTTATAATATTGGTCATTGAATAAATATTATCATCAATGTTGTCATGAGATATAAATAAATCAAATTAATTGATAACCAGCAGATCTGGTTGATTCATCTTTTAGAATATTGGATTAGTTTTTCTTTTCATTAAATTTTACAAGTATTTGATGATGTTATTTCTAAAAAGAAGTAAACTTTCAAACCAGCAGAATTTATTTAAAAACATGTTTTGGATATACTGAATGGTCGTTTTCAAGTTCTAAACAAAGTTTTAATGTGTAAAAGTTATATTCAGGTATATGTAGCAAGTGCTTGATTTTGAAATTTTCTATTTGAAGTTAAAAATTAACTACAAAATTTTAAAATAAAGTTTGTATTCTCAAATGTAACTTCTGTACATTAGAACTTTAAGTAAGAACCTGAGAATGACTATTCAAAACAGTCAAAAATGTTTGGTTTTAAATAAATGCTGATTTTAAAATTTTATATCTTTTCATTTATTGAAATAATCTATTTTCATTTAGTAAAAGTAAAACAATAAACAATACTATTGAAAGATTTATTATCTCATTCATCTAGAAATTACATGAATCATTTGAAACGGCAGAAAATATAGTCTTGTAATATATATATCAGACACTTGCTTTTTTTTTTATTTGGGTTATAAAGTAAATTAAAGTTCAAAAGGCAGAACAGGTTTTAAATTTAAACATTTCAGGAGCTTCTCATAAATAATTTTACTATTTTATTTTTTATCTGTAATGTTGCTGTAAGATAAAATGAACTTACATTTTTATCTTAAATATTAAGTTATTATACGCAACTCTGAATTTTATATATTACGTTCAAATGTTCAGTAGTGATTATTAAGACAAAAAAAATTTTAAGTTTTTGAGCTTTTATATTACATTATATTAATAGATTTAAATATCTAGATTTTGTTATATAGGCCAATATTGTAGGTAGCGTTTTGTTGGATTACAATATTTATAAATAAATTTCTGCAACCTTACAAAGCTGCTATTTTCATAACATTACAGTAATTCCATAAAATAAAAGTTAATATTATTTTCTGAATTATCTATTTTAGAAGGCCGTGAAAAAAGCAACAGAGATGGAAATGGACACAGTGGTTTTGGTGGAACAATATCTAAAGCTTTTGGAAAATTTACACTTTTTACAAAGGTAGATTCAAAATTTTATTGAATGTGAAATTTAGTTAAAATTATTTTTTAATTGATTTTTTTAAATATATAATTAAAGATTAAACACTTTATTTAGAGATAATATCTTTGCTTTTTTTTATTACAGTTTGGATCTAAAAATGAACAAAATAATCAACCTCAAGTTTCAGGAGTCGTAAATAAAGGTTGTGTTTTTACTTTTTTCTATTTTAAATACTTGTATTTCTATTTTATGTATTTATATAAAAATAGTCTGTGATTTATGCAAATTAGGATCAGTTATCCCATGAAAATATATTAAAATTTGCTGAAGAAGAGACATGTATACTGTATATATTAAAAAATTCAACTGAAAGTTATCCATCTAATACAATAGTATAAAAAATATAGATAATCTATATCATATAGTAAATATTTTTTCCCAGGTAATTTCAAAATAATAATAATAACTGTAGTCTTTTGATTATTCGTAGTCAAATTTTAAAGAAATGATTTTTAACTCTATAAACATATAAAAGCTTATTTTAAATTTTAGATATATGTTAGGGCTAATCAGCCAAATCATCTCAACTTGTCCAATCACTTTTGCATTACCAAACAAATTGGTCATTGTTTAATGCATTTGCAATAAATTTGTTACTTTATGATTTATTTGGTCAGTATACAATGTGGCTGATGGACAAAACCCAACATACATTTAAAAAACAATACTTTCCTCATACTAAGTTGCAGCATAATTGGAAGTAACTTCCCAATCAAATCTGAAGTTCTGTTGTTGGAACAAACACTGATTATAGTAGTTAGCTGATTTATTCAAATTTTTATTGTTTCACACTGTTTAGCTAATATAATTTTTGTCTATCAGGTCAGTCCATAAGTTCGTGCGCATTTTTATCTACAAAAAAAGCAACAAAAAATTTTAATTAAATCTTATTTCAATCTATAATGTATTCACCATTATTTTGTACAATTTCTTGCCATCTTGATGGTAGCTTTTTAATCCCGTCTTTGTAAAATGATTTCGGTTTTGAATCAAAATATTCAGAAATAGCCTTTTTTACATTGTTCTCATCCTCAAAAGTTTTTCCTTTTAAAAAATTCTGCAAACTCCGAAAAAGATGATAATCACTGGGAGCAATATCTGGCAAATATGGTGGATGAGGTAAAATTTCCCAGTTGAAGCTTTTGAGTTGAGCAGTTGACGTTGTTGTCAGTTAGCTATTGACAGTTCATGTGGTATCCATTTTCCTAGCTTTGAAACTTTTCCGATTTGTTGTAGATGTCTATGAACAGTTCCATGGGATGAATTTAAACGTTCCGCAATTTCATCAACTGTTAAAGATGGTTCTGCTTCAACTAGTGCAGAGAGAGCATCATCATCAAAGTCAACGGGTCTTCCAGTACGAGCCTTATCCTCCACACTAAAATCATTATTTCTAAATCTTTCAAACCACTTCTGCGCAGTCCTTACACTAATTACAGTTTGATTATGAACAGTATTTAATTTTTTGGCTGCATTTGTAGCATTCTCATCACTTAAAAATAAAAAGTATAAAACATGTCTCTTATATTCATCTGTTACGTCCATTTTAATGAAAATAAACAACTGAAATGTTCCCAATTCTGAACAGTATTATATGAATGAGATCCAATTTAACACTTTAGTGTAAAAAGTATCACATTAGACTGGCATTTTTAACAGCAAAACAAGATTTTTCTCAAGGTCATAAAATATGCATGAACTTATGGACTGACCTGATAATTTGGACCATGTTTTGATCTTGTAGGATATCAAAAACCTAGCAATAAAACAGTTGTTCTACAAGCTGAATATAACGTTTGTCATATTTAGGCTACGTACACATTAGGCATTTTGCGTTGTGTTAAACGCACGTTAGCTCGGTGTTCAACGACCGTTTAGTGGAGCGTGAGCACTGGCTCAGTTTGGAAATGGACGTGAAAGTAATTGCTTGTGTGTACCTCCTCCATTGTCGCTATAAAAGATGATGGCAGAAGCAAAGAGAATTTTGGGTGCACCCAATATTACGAGATAGACTGACGCATAGAATGTTTGTGATGTTGTATCCAAAACTAAGACAATATGAACCCAAATTTTTTAATTCTTTTAGAATATCTATAAAATCATTTGACAATGACTGGTCTCTTTTAGATTTCATCAATAAATAGATCAGTATCGAAATGATCGTTCTCCATTTCGGCAACATACTTACAATCTACCTGAAAGCGCGCGATTGAATGTACAACATGGCAGCACATATATCTTAAAGCGCCCGTAAAACATGCGTTTTAACAAAAATCTATCAGCGCGCGTTTCAGTATGTGTGCCTATGCAGAACTCTTGATTCTTTAAAACACGCATTACCAAAACACACATTTAAAAATGCCTAATGTGTACACAGCCTTAATATTTATTTATATCTAACAAGGGGATCTTATGGTCTCGGAAATTCAGTTCNCTGCACTTATCTTCTCTACTCTGCATGATGTCACTACTATACATTTAGCATGGTCATAAGTAGTTGTAACAATACATAACGCACAGCATGCACATCAGCTATCTCTGCTGCAATGAAATGTCCTACTAATAAAACACCTTTAATAAAAACCTTAAACAACTTTAAAACAAATCTGACCTTAAATAAAGTTATTAATTCTTGTAAAAGGACTGCCATGCGGTAGGTAAAGAGTCCGCATCTCTATGGTTGATGCAACCAGTTTTCTTGTGTGCCTTAAAGATCTCTAATGAGAGATGCGGACTCTTTACCTACCACATGGCGGTCCTTTTACAAGAATTAATGACTTTATTTATTTTTATTTTTGTTAAAGGACATTTTTTCGGATTAGTTTATATTTTTCGTTCATTTTATCAACACAGCCACTTTTCCGTTATTTATATTTTAATTTTGTATTTACATTCTTTTTGTGTTCGATTTTATTCTATGTTATGTTAACTGAAGAAGATCGTTAAGAAATGATCGAAAACGTTTTTACATTATTAATTTTTATTAGCTGGATTATTAAAGCTGTGTTTTATTAGTAGTATATTTATACAGTTCGTTCGTTATATAATGAAATGTCCTTGACACTTGCCTATAAGTACTAACCAAAATTGCAAATGGAGCGGAGTCCACTCTGTGCCATAGATATCTTGCTCTCCAGTTAGTCCCAAAACGAAAATTAGCACGTAATTCAACACTACAGTATGTTGGTATGATGAGCTAGCTAGGTCTTGGCCCTTGGGACTTATTAGTGGTGAAGTCAGTGTGGCCCTTAGGCTAAAATGTTTGGAGACCCCTGATCTAGACAATCAAAAGTAGGATTTCCCCCATAGGGCCACTGTTAAGAAAATTGACCCTTTTCCATTTTGTGAAAAATTGTACACACAAATTTTTATAAGGGGTGTTCAAATGAAAGTGATTTGAGGTGTGTATCCATGAGATGCATAGGGACAGAAATGAGACAGATACATAGATAGAAAAAAACAATATTTAATGAGTGAAATGCATACAAAGTTTGTTAAAAGAAATCACCCATGGCGTTTAGGCAGGCGTCCCATTGCTTAGGAAGGTTATGAATTCCGTCTGCGAAGAACGATGTCAGTTGATCATGGAACCAGTTCAGAACTGCAGCCTTTATGTCATCATCAGAGTGAAATCATTGACCCATTAGACTTTTCTTCAGCAGTCCAAAGATGTGATAGTCACAAGGCGACAGATCTGGACTGTAAGCTGGATGTTCCAGGACTTCCCACTTTTTATGGGCCAGTGCCTCGACACACACCTTGGCGACATGTGGCCTTGCATTGTCGTGCAGAATAATGACACTGACGACAGCATACGAGGATGTTTGTTTTTGATAGCCTTATGCAGCTTATCAAGTGTTTGGGTGTACTGTTGAGCATTGATGGAGACGTTCGGCTCCTTAAACTCCAGTAATAGGAGTCCCTGCATGTCGAAAAATGCTGTCAATATCACCTTTCTGGCTGACTGCTGAGTTTTGAATTTTTTGGGTCTAGATGAGCCTGGATGTTTCTATTGCATGCTGACGGACTTCCTTTCCGGTTGGAAGTGGTGACACCAGGTTTCATCCCCTGCCACTATGTGCTGCAGAAAGTCGTCACCATCATTCCTATAGCGCAACAAATGCTGTAAACTCAGGCCCATTTGCTGTTTCTTGTGGTGTTCAGACAGCATGCATGGTAACGTCATTGGCAATACTTCAGAATGTTGGTGACAATATTGTGAACAGTACCAATGGAAACGTTTAACTTATTTGTGACGTCACAAATGTTTAGACGTCAATTTCCCTTGATTGCAGTGTCAATGTCCGTAATCAGCTTCTCTGTCACAACTTCGTGTGCCTGACCGGGCCGTGGCAAATCCCTTGTCTTGTGTTGACCGTCACTAAACATTCTCGCCCACCTCGTTGCCGTGGGCTTTGACACACACGTGTCACTGTACACAGCCAGCATTCTGTGATGAATATCCACCAGCTTACACCCATCCAGTGTTAAAAACTTAATTACAGCTCGCTGATTCGTTTTGGACGCAGTTGCATCCACACCAACCATTTTGAAATGAATGTCACATCCTTACAAATGAAGTTATCACAAATCTGGTTGCATATGTGCATGCATGATACATAAACCTTCACTATCGCATTTGTTTCACAAAAATACATTGAAAACTGTTCGCATGCAATACTTCGAATCACTTTCATTTGAACATGCCTCAAAGATTGCCCATGTGGCAAGTGATTTTGCTACAGACTCAGCCATTTCGCTGTGCTGCCATTGTGTAAAATCGACCAGTATATGAGCTGCGCTTAAAACTTTAGAGCCCTTTTTCTTGGAATATTCTGGCTAGTGCACTTTACAATTCTTCTGGGTGGACACCCTTGAGCTATTCTACTAACCTGCGAAGGCTCATTCTGAACTGAATTTCCGAGACTGTAAGTCTCCTTGTAAATGAAAAATGGATAAAATAAAAGAACAAATTAAAAGGTTTTTTTTTTTGCCGTTAACAAATCAGTGAAGACAGATTTCTATTTTGGCATACTATACCTGGCATTTCAAATAGCAAAAGTTACTATATTCTGTATGATTATGGTTGCTATAAATTCTTACTAAATTCTGCAGCTTAATTTGTTGAGTGTAAAGATTTCTCTGACAAATGACATATGGATAAATATCATTTGTTAGAGAGATCTTAATAAATTGTTCTGAAACCTATCAACAAAACTCAGTTCCAGCTTAAAGCACTTTAAACAATAATGCAATTTCATTTAGGAATGCAGAGTATCAGTTTCAAGTTTTAGTTGTTTGTTTTACTTCACTGAAAGTGCTTCCTATGGTATTAATTTCCAATATTAGTGGTGTTACATCATGAGTTTCAACTTTCAAGAAAATCAGTTATTTCCAATACTATGGCCTAGCTTAAAATTAACTAAAGCAAGTTGCAAAATGTAATAAGTTATGTTAAGATTCATCAAATGAATAAGGAAAATAATTGATTTTTGCTTACTTTTAAGTTCTGTAAAATATTGATTTTACCAAATTATAATGACAAAAAGTAAAATAATATGATTTTTATTGGTGGAACATCATTTCTAGTGCAACCACATTCAAAGTCATATTTTTCTTAGAATAATAACTTAAAGGTTCATTTAGAGCTGAAGATGTAAAACATGGGATAATAACTTTGGAAGACACAATCAAATTTTCTTGAAAACTAGTTAAGCAACCAATTGGAACAAAAAATTTTTAATAAGCTGACTAGGGTTGGCATGTGTCCTGTTGTTGGTAGTGTAATTGGTCCAATTACAATAGTTGTCTTATGTCCTAAATGAAAACTTAATTGTCCTACTTTACATTTGTAGACAAAAAAACTTTATGTTCAAACATTGTTATTTTAAAAAATTAAAAAGAGACACAAAGAACATTTAATTAATTTCTGAATGCACGTATTGGATTTTGTGAACACAATAAAAAATCTTTGTTGAGATATAAAATTCTAAATTTAATATAAAAATTATTAGAAAATACCATAGTTATTGACTTATAAATGATTCTAAAAGATTTTAAGCAACAATTCACATCTAGAATTGAGAATAAATTTTTCAGGTATGAAGTTATGGAAAAGATGAAAGATTTATCTCTATATGAAAAGAAAAGATTTGAAAATGAATTTTTAAATGTTTATAACAAAGCTTTGTCTTATGTGAAAAAAGATTTGATTTTGATGAAAAATCATTAATTATTGGTAATTGTCACCTAAATTTATCCAAAATAAATCATAATTTTATTAATATACTTAATTTTCTTCTATTTATTAATTAATTAATCCCTTTTACTTTTCTGGAGGCTGTTATATATACATAACAGCGGAAAGTATTGAAATCATGTCATATTTGACCCTCTGATCTTTTGTTAATCTTCATGTTTTGAGACCTCTGAACTCAAAAAAGTGAAAACAGGAAAAATTTTATGGATAGTGTATAGTGTTTGTGCATTGTGCATCTATTTGTTTAATATTTCAGGATTGGGTAAAGATTAATAAATGAAATTTGGCATGGTAGCCTGCTGTATAAGGGGCATTCATGCTATTAAAGTTTGGTGAGTGGGGTGAGAGGTGTATCATGTGTCATATCTTGAGAAAAGTCAGACTTGATGAAGATTTTTGTTGTTAGCATTTACAGTTTTTTTTAATATAAAACCTGTCACTACCCTCGAAATTAAATTTCTTGCATTTTATAATAATTAATATAAAATTTTTTATAACAAAATCTCATAAAATGATGCCATACACAATTTTATTTATTACAATTATAATATAAATGTTATTTTTAAAATAAAATTTCATAACAGCCAGGAAAGTTACACAACTTGTTGCTAGATTCTTTTTGAGTGTGGATTTGACCTACATTTAGCATCCCAACATTTGGCAACCATAAAGCTTGACATATCAAACAATGAGGTGGGAGAAAAATAAAACTTGTCAATCTTAAGCTAGGTCATAACATTGGATGTAATGAATATAAAAAGTTATTACAAATTTAATAGTTTGTTTCTAAGGAGAATTCTAATTTTTAATTGCTAAAGAAATTCATAGTCCATCAATAAAAAGCAGTTTGTAACAGTGTACAAATAGGATGTTATATTATTAGATAAAATTTTTGTATTTTATATATTTTATATATATACACATGCTTTATTTATAAAGTTTTTATTGTTATATTTATAGATGGGCAAGGAAAGAAAACTAATGAAAATACCAAGGTGTTTAGTTTTCCACATCGTCTGCCTCGGAAACCCCGTGGTTCTAAACATCCTCCAAAACAGTGGACTCAAGTATGATCCAAAACTGAACAAGAAATCTAATTTGCTTCAAAATACAGTATTGACTAACATTTTTTGACAGGCACAATTTTTGAACTACATAGAAACATTTATATAAGAAATTTTACATTTTGAATTTATAACATGCAATTTCATATTTTGTAAATTTGTATCAAAGTTAATTACTTGTTTGTTAAACATTCCTTGTTCTAATTAGATTTAGGACTTCTCACATATCTCTCATATAATTTCGTCATAATTTAATTTAAAATATTTATTGTAATAATTTTGAGATTTTAAATCTTAAATATTTTAAAATTTATATGAAATGAAAACAGAAAATGGGAATTAATTGCCAAAAGTGACAGAAAGGGCTTCCACATATTGAAATTAGAATTCAAATTTCATGATTTAGATCTTTTTCTAATTAAATATTATTTGATACTTCTTAATGACATATCTTCTTTGATTTAATGTAAAATTTATATTCATTTTGGATTTTTGTAACTAAATTTTAAATGCAACAAAACAAATATATATATATATATAAACATAAATTGGTAATATATACACGTAAATTGATAAATTTTGAAAGATATCTACAATATAGAAAGTATTTAAATGTGGAAAAAATTATAATATAAAAATTGGCTTCTGCTAAATCTTGATTACTATCAGAAAATTAAATATAGTGCCTCCAACACAATACAGTGCCTGATGTTTGGTGAAATGCAAACAATTGCATTTCCTACAACATACAGTAAATTGATTATGGCATAGAATGATATTTATCTAATAAAAGCAATATCTAATGATAAGAAGTAATTTAAAATAATTTATTTTTATCATGAAGACAATATAATTTTTATAAAAAGTTAAAATCCAAAGCTTATTGAATACTTTTTAATCCAGTATTTATAATATTAATTATTATAATTTAATATTATAATGCATTTATAATATTTATACACTTTTTCTTTTAAAATTATTTATGAATTTTTTTATTGAATTTTGTTACAAGTGTTTTTTAATTTGCTCAAAAGAAAAGACAAGATTTGTAAGTCAGGCAAGATATTTGATTTGCTGAGACTAGTTTGCATTTACTAATACTTATAACTGTACATACATATATTAAAAAAAAATATGACAAGGTGTCTTATGTATATATTGTGTAGATATAATAATAATAATATATATTAAATGTTGTGGCATCTTAAATTGCATTTACTACCTCGAAACCACCGTCAACATTTTTTGGCCATTAACTTATCATTGAAGCATTCCATTCTTTTTAGTGTGAAAATGTACAAATTATATATTTATCCTTATTTTAAAATACACATGAAAAAAGAAGTGAATAATACATAAGTCACCAGCATTAAAATTTGTGTAGATTATTGGAAATATGTAAAGAATTAATTCTTTTTATATTTTATTTTGTAATAATTGTAAATATGTACCTTACATGTATGTTCTGTATAAAATACCATATTTTGTCGTTATTTATTTCTTTAATTGAAAATTACAGTGTAAATGTTCTTAATCCCTGTTTTTTCATTTTAATAATAAAATATTTTATGTTAAGATTACAATTTCTAACAATACAAATGTCAATAATTTTCTGTAAAATGCACTCTTAGCAAATATTGCTAAGATTAGAAAAGATGCAGTATTGTTAATGTAAATATGATATATAATTTTATGCATGTGCCTTTATAAAATATGGTCACTGCAGCAATGTTTTCCTTTTTTATTTGTTAAATAAATCACAAGTTAATTCTGTATAATTTTTATAGTTAATTATTTTTTAAACTCTAACACAAGCAATTTTTAGTGTTCTCTCAATTTTCAACTAATCATAAAATTTAATCAAGAGCAGAATTTCGAAAATTCTTGTATCCATGATTACAGAGAACTTTTATATATTTTAATTATATTGTAAGTTCAGAGCAAACATATAATATGTACTTGAAAATAAGGTTATAAATTAATATCGGGTGCTATAAAATTATTAAAAAATCAAATTGTTTAGCATGATGCAAATATTGCACCTTATCATAACTTACATAGTAATTAATAAGATACTGTACTGAAAGCAAATTTAAAGTACTATACTTCCAATTTTATATCAATTCAATAAATCAAAGTACACTGGTCAAATATGAATTTATTGCAAGACCAAATATAAATCACTTCCAAACTTAAATATTTTAACGGAAGGAAAACATCTTTTTGAGAACAATGTTGTCCCACTGAAAACCAAATGATTAAATGAGCCAGTGAAAGTAGTGTAAGTCAGATTTTCCAAAAGACTACGTTGCTGCTGAGTTTCAGTTCCTGATAGCATGATTTACATATTCTTAAGTTTTTCAATATACAGTAGATGAAAAGTGACACCACTTTCAAATAAATTACTTAGTGTAATCTATTTAAATCACTCAGAAAATATCCATTTTACATAATTAAGCTACGTTGCCAAATTATCAGATTATGTAAAGTGATTTAACTACCCCAATGTTAAGATGGTTTGTATTTAGTTAACAACAACGTGTTTGGGTGGTCGAGGAAATGCTTTTTCGAGGCGAATCGTTCTTAAACGCATTATTACGGGAGATGAAACAGGGATCTACGCTTCTGATAACGAAACAGCTAAATAATCAAGTGAATGGCGCAAAATTTCCGCTTCGTGGTCACAATTTTGAGTCGATTGGTGCCATAAAACAAAATTCGCCCAGATTCCCGAAGGTGTTTCACGAGAATGACTTTAAAGCATGTTTCGAGAATTGGAAAAAACGTCATAAGTCATTGCAGTGGGAAGGGAAAGAAAGAAATTTTGACGAATAAATTGAAATATTGCGTTTTAATGAACCATTCTCGATGCTTTTTGATCATGGGGTATAAAAGTTATTTTTGAAATAAAATCTCTTAACAGCTGGGAAAATTACGCTACTCGTTGCTAAATATTTTATTTTTGAATGTCGATTATTATTTAGAAAAACTTTACAGTTAGCAACAGTAACGGATTCAGAAGTATCCAAAGGTGAACTAACTTAAAAATAAAAAATATTTGATATTAAAGATACAGGTAATCTTCGTATAACGCGGTTTACAAATTGTAGCAATCCCTGTATAACGCCGCACTTGTACTGTACAATAGGATTTCGATATAAGGTGAAATCACATTGAGCCAGTTTATTTTATTCTAATAAATTCAGTTTCTGCAATGTAGATTATACAATTTTCCTCTAAATGGTGAAAGCCTTTCTCTATAATGATGAAACATTATTTTTCACGGCAATCCTTTTTTAGAGAAACGTAAAATACTTTTCTGTACTAACAACTGAGTAATTTTATAAACCAGAAATTCCTTTTGGCATTTTTGCATGCTGCTTATAATCTTTTTCAGCTTCGATCTTGAAAATAGCGTTTAATTAGATAAGTATGGACAAGTTAGTTAAAGTCATAAGAGTATATCAACCGGAATGATTTGTAATTCACGTTTTGATAAATGAAATTTTTTGAATTCAATAGAACTGTTTTTTCGTACATGATAGATAAAATTTATACTTAAAAAATGTTTTGAAAGGTAAATCCACTTTTCATACGTAATGTTTGTCTCTCATAACGCAATTTTTATAACGTGACATTTTTGTGGAGCCTAACTATCGCGTTATACGAAGGTTACCTGTATTTGAATAATTAATAAGTACCTTTCATTTATCATATGCATGACAATTGTATTGCGGATGATTCTATTAACTATATTTGCCACAATAAAAGTCTATTCACACGTATCAAATTCGTGTCAGTGATATTTGTGACCTTATCAGTGACGCCTACAGACCTATCTATACACATATCCGTGCAGTTTGATCGGTGTCACGTCAGTGATATTCAAGAGGGCGAAATTCACAGACAGAATTAGAAATAACTATCGTAATTTTGGATGAAGAAGAAATGCATCAGAAAAAAATGTGGGTAGGGAAGTGGATAATGAATGGAAGAAAAGAATACCCTACATAAGAAAACAAAAATTTTATAACTATATAAATACATTTTTTAAAACGTTTTATATAAAAAAATAAATAGTATTTTATTAATGATACATTTAATGCATAAAAATCATTTTTATATAAAATATAGAAAATAAGTACACGCACAAATAGGCTCTTACACAAAACAACTTCAGTGAAAAATCAATAATATGGTTGGTCACGATTAAGTCACCGTACGTGTACTGATCGGACACCAAGGCTAATATACGGTACTTTGCAGGATGTACTGTACCTCAATCAAGTTCGAAGCAACGATATTTTTTATCACTGCCATTAACGGCATTTCACGGAACCGAGCGGACACGCCACCGATACGTGTGAATAGATCTTAAATATTTTTTAAAACAAAGTTTTGAGGTTCGAACAAATAAATTTTAATTTGTTTTGTGGGTGTGTCCCACCAGAGAAGAGTTAAGCCCTGTAGCCGTCCCCACTAATTAGTAAACAGCACTTCTTGATCCTTAATTCCAATAAAAAATTATTGTAAATTTATGTATCGACGTTAATTAAGCAAAATAGATGTAGTTAATAAATTTAATATTTACATGAATTAAATTATAACATGGAAATAAATAGTTTTTTTTTTTAAATATGCAAGAAATATAATCACTAAAATATTTGAAAACTTATTGAATTTTAAGGTGTTAAAATATTAATTGAATGTAAAAGAATTGGCATTCTTGCTAATTTAATATGTTGCAACTGTGTCAATATGCCAGTCAAGGTTGTTCGTATATAATTATAATTATATATTTCCTTTTATATCAAAGATATCCACTTTAATTCAAAGAAAATTAGGAATCTTTGCAGATAATCTGGAGCAGAGATACGAAAAAGTTCATCTTTTCACTGTTCTTTTAAAGTCGATTAGATAATTTTGTCGAGACGATAAGATAAACTGCAAAATAATGGGTGTCTCTTTTCCTAACAGGAAATATGACTCAACGTTTACTGAAGGTTACAAATGTCAACATTTTTTTTTCTTTTTTTGTCTGATTGGTTGATACGAGGAACGAGATAATTAGAGTTACGAGCATTCCTTGGTTTATACGTGAACTACAACAATTATTTTATATTTTATATAACTTTTATTTGTTAAAATGTTGTAAGAATATATATATATATTAGGAATTTGACGACTGCCTCAGGCAATAAAATTAGTGGTCAAAAAAGGATTCAAAAGAAAAGAATTAATAAGCCGAATACAATTAAGCTCAGCAAATTAAACTTGCTTATAAATAGTCCGTGTAAGAATGCCAGCGCTAAAAGTGCTGTCTATGGCACCGTCTAGAACCAGGTGAGGCAATAATCGGTTTCGCCTCACTGGGCCAGATGCAACTTATCATCGAGCCGGTACTATGTATAATAATTATAAATAATATCGCTTTTAAGTTATTTTATAATCACGAAAATTTCAGAAAATAATGAATTAATACGATATAATGAAAGGAAATGACTGCACTTTTGCAGGTTGAAAGTTAAAATATAGCCTATATTTTAAAGGAACACTTTTTTGCTAGATTAATTTATAATTAATGAAAATATACTTTACAGATATTTTGGAAGTAAAATTTCTTTTATTCATTATTCTAACTCAAGATTTAAATCATTCCATTCTGCTGAAGTGTGATTAGCATTTAAATGTCGTATAAACTTAAAACTGACACCATTATTATTAAACGTCCAAAAATTTATTCATCATAAAAAATTCTAAAACAGAAAATGAATAAAACAATGTTTTCATTTACCACCAAAAGCGGCTAAAGGTCCAAATATGGGCCATTTGACGTAAGTTTTCGATTTCATGTATTTGGATACACCCGGAAGACTTTCGAATCGTTTGAGGTATTCCTTCAAATTAGGAAAAGCATCCAAACAATCTTCTTTCAATAAACGATGGAAATCCAGAGCGTCGTACAAAATGAAATCCACGTAAGTCAATTTGTTTCCAATTATCCATTCCTTGTTTTCCAAATATTTGGAGAATAGTTTCAGTTGATCCGGAAGATTTTTCAGGTATGCTTCTTTCCTTTCTTCAAAGTTAGCATATGCCAAAAAAATTAGAGTGTTGCGAAGATCGACTGCCTGTTGCTCCACTATATCCTGTAGCAATACTTCTTGCTCGTTCCTGACAACTAACTCGTGCTTCTTTGCCAAATATCTTATAATTGCGGTACTCTGAGTTAATTTGACTTCTCCATCAATGTAATATGGCAAATTGGGAAATTCGAGATCCAAAGTGAACTTCTCTCGTAACCATTCCGATCGATCGTATTCGGGTGGAGGACCAAAATTGTATCTTTTGTCTTCGAATTCCGTTCCCGTATAATGTAACAAGTAACGAATTGGTTCGGCTAATCCTCGAAGATTCCAATAACCGACGACTGGAGGCATGACGCTACTAGAACAGAACGATGGAGAGTGAGTTACAAAATTAATTATTGTTCAATTTAAATAGGGTAGCAGGCGGTAGATGGCAGCACGAAACACTTGATCTGTTCAATCCTAAAGGCGTGATACACTAGGCGAGTTTTCTTCCCGGAGACGGCTCTGAACGACAAAAACCTGTTAGCGTCTTTTCGAAAAAACAGAATTTTTAGCTGAAAATGTTGAATTAACTTAATATGTTCATTTTTGATAATAATTTCGTAAATTTTATTGTAAATAAGTTTTAAAAATTGTTCCGAATTTATGCGTGATAATAGCCTAGCCTACATTGCTGTGGAGAAAAGTGAACCAAAGGTTTTTCTTCACATTTACGAATTGCTACTCCTGATTTTTCTTTTTTCTTTCTTTATTCTCGCGTTTTCCTATGTTTATATGGAGTCGATGTTTCCTTCTGTAATACGTTTCTTCCATTTCTCCTTATCAAGGGCTTCTCTCTTAAGTCCCTTCTGGTTCAAGTCTTCTTCCACCTTATCTTTCCAACGCATCTTTGGTCTTCCTCTTTTCTTCTTTCCTTTAATTATCAGTTTTCCGATCTTCTTTCCAACATAATTGCTTCTTTGCTCTACGTGGCCAAATCGTCTCAACCGTCGCCCATTGAGCAAAAATATGCAAGAATGCATCTTGCATATTTTTGCTCAATGGGCCCATGCTCGCCTACGCGGCAACAATTTGAGCAGTGCAGGGAACATTGCATGCAGCCTGAAGGCCACAGATTCCCATTTATATACAAGATCAATATTATTTAATTGAATAGTCATGATTCCAAATAGAATTGAATAATAATTTTTCAAATAATATTCAATATTGAAGTATCTTCCGTACATTAAAATTTAATTCTATAAAGAAAGACTAAAACTATTCACATACGGAAAGTTTTGATTAAACTCACAACTTTAAAGAAAGAATCTTTTACATCAAATCAAAAACTCGGAATTCACGTCAAGATCGTCGATTAGAGACGTGAATCGATCAAATAATTAATCAGTCGTACAGTCTGTAACAAAAGTATAAAATTTAAATTAATAAAAAAACCTTTTTATTAATTTAAATTTAATTTATTACTTAACAATAAAAGTTTTATAAGATGATTTTATATATTAATTAAATTATTTATATAAAGTTTTATAATAAGTATAAAATAATTACATCATTTATACATTTTTTAAAATATTTTGACTGTAACAAAATATTAATAAACACAGTATTAATAAATAACAATTAAAAATTGTTTTAATATTTTGAAACCCCACTTTTTGATGGAATTAGTTGAAATATTCTATCTGGCATTGAGTTTACTAATTTTTTCATTTTTTTTTCAGTTAGTGCCTCCCATGCTTTAATAGTTTCCAACTATAGTTCATGTACACTGTTATACTAATTATTTTCTCCACAGACAGCAAATGTCAGACAGCCCCATAGATTTTTTTATGTAATTCCTATCTAGACTTCTAGATGGCCAATCAACTACCTCAATTTTTTTTAAAGCCATTGTTTTGTTGATTCTGACGTTTGTACTGAAGCATTGTGCTGTTGCAATTTCTAGTTACTTCCACCAATGAATGGCCCAAATGTAATTAAGTTGTCATAGAGCATCTTTTGATAATTTTCAGAGTTTATTTTACCACTAATAAAAGCAATGTCTGTCTTACCACCATATCCAAAACCTGCCTACACTATTACTGATCCTCCTTCCTGCTGTCTACTCATTTTTACTTTTTCATTCTTTTTAAAATCGTGCCAGTAACTTAAAAGCCATCTGGTCCATCTAAATTCCATTTTTTCCATCTGTAAACACTATTTGGTGCCACTCTGAGATTCAGGACATTTTTTCTTTTGCCCATTGAAGTCCAGATAATTGGTGCTGTTTGGTTAATTTTAGTTTGTTTCATTTTTAGGAAGTTTACAGTTTTATTATTATTTAGGATTCTCCAAACAGTCGTGTACCAGTACGATACTTTGGTTGGTAGAGTAGCTACAGCTTCTCTTCATGACATGCTTTTGTTTGTTATTAATTTAAACACTTGGCATCTATGTCTGTCAGTCATGCTTTTAGGCCTACCAGATCGTTTAATTTTTCCATAATGTTCTTTTTGCTGTAAAACATACCTTACAGCAGATCTGGAATGATTCACACTAGCTGCTACTTGTCTTACTGACTTGCCAGATCCATGTAGTAAATGTATTTCGTGAATTTCTTGTTTTGTTAGACTGCAACCACGAGGCATTGTTTAAAATCCTTTCAAAATTTCTAAAAACTGTTTAAATTGCCACCGTATTTGATTTCAAAAATATAGTTGTCTGCTATTGTTAATAAGAAGAGAAACTTAGATTATTATACTTTTTTAGCCATTTTTAAGTCTGTGCTTATAATTTTGTTACAGTCCTAAATTAAAAAATTGAACTAGTAATCATTTTAATATAAAAATTTACCAAAATGTTTCAAATTATATTTAAAATCTGTAGCTATAAGTAATTTTTATAGGTTTTTAACCTGAGATTTAAAAAAAATTCAAAAAACGTGTTATACCTACTTTTGTTACAGGCTGTAGGTATATTATACTCTGTTTAAGTAGTCGTTTAACTTTCCCTATACACTTTATTATGATGCAGTTGGGAGATGAAAGTATCCATTTACAGAAATTTATTGTCAATCTCAGCACAATATCAAAACAGTGTTTTGCTTAAGGAAACCTGCAATTATTTCATTTCCTTAATTTCTGACTTAAATTCTTGCAATGAATAATTTGATTACAGTGTATAAAAATATAGAAATAATTTAAGCAGCAAACTTTATTGAAGGATTACTAATTCTTAATTTATTAAATTCCTAATGCATTAACATTTTTAATGTATTCTTAGTATATTAAAATTAAAATAAAAAATTATTAGAATTATTCATTAATAATTTAAAAGAAAGATTAATATTCTTGTTAATTTAATATATTCAGTTATATCAACATGGCAGTCAATGTTGTTCGGATTAACACTGTAATTATGTACTGTACAGTACTTCCTTTTATATCAAACATATCTACTTCAATTGAAAAAGTTAGGAAGAAATCTTTGCACATAATCTAATGCAGAGAAACAGTAAAGTTCATCTCCTTATTGTTCTTTTAAGGTCGATAGACAGTTTTATCGATACGATAAGATACACTCTTCGAGATGATGGGCGTCTCTTTTCCTAACAAAACATGACTCAACATTTGCCGAAGGTTAAATATGAACGACTTTTTTAGGTTCATACTTGGAATGCAATAATTAGCCTACGTGTATTAATATATATGTCTGTGTATTTTCATTCCTCTATTAAAATGATGTAAGAGTGCGTTATTTATCTACACAGTAAACCATCACTAACAGGGACTACTAATAGAGGGTGAAGGTCGAGTTAGTGGGGGTAATGAATTGTCACGTTTTAATACAATAGATTAAAAAGTAAGAAAAGAATGTTAATAAACGAAGAATTTTTATTAAATATATTTAGTTTTTAAATTAATATGCTAACTATAATGTTATTTTTCCGTTGTTTTACTTCGAGTGTTAATAACTTCATTGTATTTTTTCACAAATTAATAGGTAATGTGTTGATAAACATAAAAAAAAGTATACATTAGTATTAAATGCCAACAAAATTTTATTCTTTTTTAAAAGTGGAAAATGTAAAACAATGTTTTCATTTACCACCAAAAGCAGCTACAGGTCCAAATATGGGCCATTTGACATAATTTTCCGATTTCATATATTTAGATACACCAGGAAGACTTTCGAATCGTTTGAGGTATTCCTTCAAATTAGGAAAAGCATCCAAACAATCTTCTTTCAACAGACGATGGAAATCCAAAGATTCGTACAAAATGAAATCCACGTAAGTCAATTTGTTTCCAAGTATCCATTCCTTGTTATCCAAATATTTGGAAAATAGTTTCAGCTGATCCGGAAGATTTTTCAGGTATTCTTCTTTCCCACGTTCAAAGTTAAAATATGCCAAGCGAGCGAGATTGACACGAAGATCAACTGCCTGTTGTTCTATCATTTCCTGTTTCCATACTTCATTCTCGTCTGTAACAACTAAACCGTGCTTCTTTGCCAAATATCTTATAATTGCGATACTCTGAGTTAATTTGACTTCTCCATCGATGTAATATGGCAAATTGGGAAAATCGAGATCCAAAGTGAACTTCTCTCGTAACCATTCCGATCGATCGTGTTCGGGTGGAGGGCCAAAATTGTATCTTTTGTCTTCGAATTCCGTTCCCGTGTAATGTAACAAGTAACGAACTGGTTCGGCTAATCCTCGAAGACGCCAATAACCGTATACTGGAGCCATGTCGTCAGCGAAACAGAACGATGCGTAATAAGCTGCCAACTAAGCGTCGTCCGATTTATATAGAATGCGATAGATGGCAGCACGTAACAGTTAATTCGATAAAAATAGGGAATAAGATTTGAAAAGAATAAGGAATTTCAATTTTTATGGAGTAATCTCATTGCCTAGGCGTATGAGTAACATCTAATATCCAGAATTTATAAGTCGGTAATTCTAATACTGTAAATAAATAAATACGGTTTACATAACTCTATACAATAAAAAGCATTTCTGATATAGAGCATCATCGTTAAGTGTGCGTAAACTTTTTCTAGTAGATCAGAAAGACATACTGTACATATATAATATATTTGAACATATTTCAGAAAGAAAGCTTTATTTTTATTATAATTTATCTATTTTTTATTTCTGATTAAGAATGCCTCTATCCCTTTTTTAAATGAAAACTTTGAGAGAGAAGTGAGGAAATAAATTCATTCAAATTAGATAATAATTACCTAAAGTTTGCTTTAAGGAAAGTAAAATAAATAAATAAAATTTGGTCCACAAATTTTAATTACAGATCTTTATTATTTCTGATAAGACTGTTGTCGAATGAAAAATCTGGAAGTAATGTGTTTTTAGTAAAAATCAATATTTCCTAATTTTGTATACATTAATCTATATGAATA